CAGCGGGCTTCCATCCTCTAATCCAAACCAAGAACCAAAATAATAAGCTCAAACCCACTCCCTTAAACCCAAGTAAAATAACCTCTCAGCCCAAATCACCTTTTTCACAAGCACCCCAACATGATGAAATCAACAAAAATTATTAAGCCACAATTATGTCTTAAAAACAAGAATTAATCTAGCTAAAAGACTACTTATGCATTAAAAAATGATTAAAATCTAAAAGAGAGAAATGAACTTAACTTTTCCGATTTTCCAGGTCATATTAGAACAAGAGGGAAGATTAGGGATTCAAATGCAACCAGAATCGGACTTAATTGAATGAATTATGAAGGTTTGGGGGGTCGAAACATGAAGCTCTAAAAGCTTTGGGGCGAAATCACAAAACAAACAAAAATGGATGGACGGAGAATGCAATTTTAGACAAGTAATTGTCTTCTCCAAGGAGCTAACATCAGTTAGCATTTCGACCCCTTTTTCCGAGCAGCAAAACTAGAAATTTAGTTGCAATTTCAATCACTCTCAACGAACAATGAAATTCACAACATCCCCTCTCATAACATCAAATTCAGGAAGATTAATTCGGGTTCTTACAAAAAGAAGAATAAGGGAACGAAAAACAGAACAAGTGCAAAACACCAATACACCGAATTTCTGAAATGCAAAGAAGGGAACTTGCTGACTCAGCCTATTCCTTCACACGGAGAAAAAAAAATGTAAAACAAATCATCTGCCAATAAGGATTTTCAGCTCAGGCATTTCGTCGAACAGGTTGGGGGCATTAAATTTCACCGACTTCTTGCCCAATTGAGATTATAATCAGCCCAAAATTGGTCAAACAACAAGAGGTTTCAGTTCAATTCAACACATAAGGCGCATGCAATCTAAAATTGTGAGCAATCAACATGAAATTGGCACTGAACAAGTGCATGGCAGACGTGCTTTGTGATTTCCCAATGTTTATACTAAAATGTCTAAACTGAAATTCGAAGAGGAAGGATGGCATACAGCGTTTGCTTGGTGAAACTTTGCCGGTGATAATGGTGGGTTTGGCGAGGTGGTAGCGGCATGAGCGGCGGTGGTTTCTGGAACGATGGTCTCGAGGATGGCAGCAGGGGAGGAAAATGGTGACGGTGTTGCTGCTGCCGTTGCTTTTTCTTGTTTACGTTTCACCTTTGGCCGAAGCCCCTTTTTCTTCCTCTATTCCTTAGTGCACCGCCTCTTTGGACTTTCTTTCCTCTGACCCCTCTTTGCTTGTTTCTGTTTCTCCGTCCCTTTTTCACCTAGCTTCCCCAAGCTTTCAAGTTTTCTTTTTTTGTTCGGCCAAGCTTCTCCTCAAACGAAGCCCTCTTTCCAATTCCCAGATTTTTAGTTTTTTCTTCGTTCCCTACCGACATCTTCCCCTTTCCTCCCTTCGGCCTTGCTTAGTTTTTACTCCCTTTTTTCTTTTCCTTTTCAGCCAAGAGCCCTCTGTCTGCTACCAGTTTTTCTTGCCGTTTGTTCCAGATTTTTCCAAAGCTTCCGCAGCTTTTCTTTTGGATTTTATTCCTAGCTCTGTTGTCTTCCGCCCCTTTTCAATCCGAAATCTTCCCCTCCTTATTCTGACCTTGTTTAACATCCATCGACCTGACGACATGGGGATCTCGGGAGAACATCCGCAGAAGAGAGACTTCACGGAGAGTTGTGGGTGGCACCCCTTCTTCATCCTCGTGAAGACGGGTTTCCTTGAGGGCAACAATCTTGCCGGTTGCTTTCTCTTTTGCTCTGTTTCTCTTTTTGTTTTTTTTTGTTTTGTTTTTCTCAGCCGCCAGCCTTCCCCTATTTTCCCTTTTCCTTCCCCTTGGTCTTTCTTTTTCTTTTGCCCGATGCCCTTTTTTAGGCCGTCACTCCCAATCTGTCTTAGCCCCTCGTCCACCCCCTCGGTTTTTCCTCTGATTTTTCTCAAGCTCCGCCGCAACTCTTGTCTCTTTTCCTGTTTTTTCTCCCGTTTGCCGTCTGTTTCCTTTTCTTTTTTTCTATTCTCTTTTTTATAGGCCGAAACCCCTCTCAGTTCTCCCTATCTCTCACTCTCGGATGAAGCCCTTTTTCCTCTCGAAGCCTTTCTGCCCACCAAACCCTAGCCGTCCCCTGCCTCTCTCTCTGTTTTCTTTTTATTTTTGTTCCCCCCAAAATTTCTTATCCACCAAGTGTCTAGACACATAATCCCTTAGGTGTTGTGTTGTCTAATATCCAAAGGGACACTTGTCCCTATTGCATATTCTCCATTTGTCTAGCATGCAAACTTTCACCTATTTCACACATTATTTTGTATTTTTGTATTTTTCAATTTTCCCTTTTTTGTTGAAATTTAGTATGAAGACAAAAATAAATAGATAATAAAATAAAATGAACTAGAACAAAATAAAATAAAATAAAACCCTAGAATTGCAACAAATAAAGCAAAATTCAATTAATTAAACCAATAAAGTTAAAAAATAAAAAATTTGTTGTCTACAGTTTGCCCCTCTTTGTCTGAGTTTTGGAAAAACTTGAGACAAAGAAGTAGACACCAAATACTTACCTGTGTCATTCAATTGCCACTATTCGAACGACTGCCGTCTTTGAAATGAGAACTGACCCCGAAAAAGTTTTTTAAAAATGGGACTGACCCAGATGAGAAATTTAAAATGAGACTGACCTGAAAAAGAAATTTAAAAGGGGACTGACCCCAACAAGAAAATTTAAATCATGGGACTGACCCGAACAAAATTTAAAATCATGGATTGATCCGAACAAAATTTGATGTGCTCACTAGTGGGACTGACCCATGTTTAGTGGCAATAAAGATGAAATGCACGCTAGTGGGACCGACCCACGTTTAGCGCAATGCAAATGAAGTGCACACTAGTGGACTGACCCACGGCTAGTGGCGATGGAAATAAAATGCTCACTAGTGGGATTGACCCACGGCTAGTGGCGATGCAAAATGAAATGCTCACTAGTGGGACTGACCCACGGCTAGTGGCGATGCAAAATAAAATGCTCACTAGTGGGACTGACCCACGGCTAGTGGTGATGCAAAATAAAATGCCCACTAGTGGGACTGACCCACGGCTAGTGGCGATGCACAATGAAATGCTGTTATGTATGAAGAAACTGTATAAGACTCACTTGAAAATTTATCCAAAGATTTGCCCCAGTGTGTTGAATTGGTCAGTGGGATAGCACCCGAGCCTGCCATTCGCTTGATCATTCACTTGGTCAGTGGGATAGCATCCGAGCCTGCTTTGAGAATTGGTCGGTCAGTGGGATAGCACCCGAGCCTGCCTTTGACAAATTGGTCAGTGGGATTAAACCCAAGCCTGCCTTGATGATCGGTCAGTGGGATTGAACCCGAGCTTGCTTTGAGAATTGGTCGGTCAGTGGGATAGCACCCGACCCTGCCTTAATAACGGGCCAGTGGGATTAAACCCGAGCCTGCCTTAAGAATTAAAAACACACATGTTAGTGAGATAAACTCAATGCTAACGGTGGTAGAAGAAAAGAAACACACACGTTAGTGAGATAGATTCGATGCTAACGGTGGAGAAATCAGTGAATTAAATGTGTGCTGATGTGCAAAATGGGAATGGAAGGGTTCGCGGCGGGCGCTGAAATTTCATCAACAAGAAATTGAAATTTGTCAAGGAACAAGAAATTAAATTCAAGTTTGATTTTTGAGAATTTTTCAAAAATAATTGGCCCCAGTTTCCACCAATTATTGTGCAACCGATCAATTGATTTGCATTACGGTATGGTTGCTCCTCATTGAGGCCTTGATTCATAAGATTCTGGCTTACGCTTCTTCATCGATTTCAGCCATGGATACCTACACAGGGGGCTCGCCAAAGTACAACATGCACTTTATTTTAAAATATTGCAACTACTACTCATGGAAAGAGCAGTGTGATTGATTTGAAAGTCTTGCTTGACTATTTGACGAAATTCCCAAGTGTATTAAAAATTCTGCCCCAGTGTGGGCTTATTTTGTGAAATCTTGCAAATAAAAATTTTGCCCAGCCGTGGGCCCATTTGATTGCAAAAATTGATTTAGATGTCTCTCCATTTATTTGAACAAAGTAAGAAACTGTGTTTCCTATATAATGCGAAGAAAATTGAACATCTTGCTTAAACTTATACAGAAAATTTCATGATGAATTTCTCAAAATAATGCCAAATTACAAAAGATTTTTCCTCACTTTAGCACCGATGCTTTGGGTAATGGGTCACCATTTCCAGTTGGCTCATCTTTCAGGACCAATCAAGTGACTTTATTTCTGATTTTGAGGTGGCTAAGGAAAATGAGAGGTCAGGATTTGTCTTATTCTTGTGCTCAAATTGTATGTAATCCCTTCAATATCACATCTTAGTGAAAGCAAAGAGTTTGTCACCCTTATTTCTTAAGAAAATGTAGTCAACATATAAGCTTTATAGGCTTGCAACAATATTGGTAGAAACGATAGCTAAACATGTGAAAATTGGTTATACCCTTATGATCACAAATGATTGATGGATTTCTTACGAATATAATCCTCACTTTGGGTTGTCAGGAAAGATAAGTCAGCGATGGACTTTATGAGCTTGTAATGTGGCTTGAAACGATAGTTAAAGAATAAGTGTGACAGCCCCACCTCCCCCTAAGGCGAACCAAAGGGCTCGGCGGACCGCCTGCCCAGCTCTCGCCGGGACTCACTACAGTCCTCAATTAAAATACATCACTCACATCCAATAACATAGGGTACAACCTCAAGAATAAACGAAATAACATTTTTCAAACTTAGAACGAGATAAGATACATTACAAATCTCAAGTAAGGGTATCATTCCCCGATTAAGACAAAAGTCCTCAGTTCTCAAATAATTACATCAAATACTTATCAAGTGAATCGAATTCAAATTATATATGAGATATCCCTTCAGGCACTAATAACTCAATACAAGTGCTTTCTTTGGCCTCGAGCCTTGTGGGGAAAAATTATTTTTGGGGTCACTAATTAAGCCTCAGAACTTCCACTTCCAAACCTGTTAAAAAAACAAATTGGGGTGAGCTAACGCTCAGTGAGGCCAAGAGAAAAACATGCAAGCATGCTAGCAAAGACACAATATAAAGCAATAACTCGAGTAACAAGTAACTGCGAAACGTTAAGCAACTAGGGAATTTAATCACAAAAAAGGATACGGGAGCTCTCAGGAGCTAATCCACGCGCAATCCAAGCTCAGGTAGTTGACCCTCCGTCAACTTTCGCAGTTATCCATGTAGAACTCCACTTACTACCTCCAGCCACCATGACACCCTCTTGGATCCGTAACCAAACAAGCATGTAGGTGGTATCACTTAACAAGTATACCTAGCAAGACCCCTTATTTGGATAAAGCTATAACACTTCCCAAGGTTCACCAAGTTTCTCGACCAAGCCCTTGCCGGCTCGAGTTACAAGGCTAGCCAATGGGTTGGGACGTCCCCCCCATTCACTTTTAGGTCGATGAGACGAAGCTCCAATCGACAAGATTTGGTCATAGCATTGAGACGGGATGAGCGTACCTCCTACCCTAAAAGGCCATGATATATTCTGCTACTCAATGCTCACGAAAAACACTTTCATTTGCATTCACATGTAACACGTATCACTTATCAAGAAAGCTATGAGATCCCGTAATTTTCACAAGTCCTCCCTAGGCATTATTCTATTTCTTTACGATCTAATGGTCCTAGAAACGTGTTCTTATATGAGTGCGTGCTGTGTATGCTCACTGTACTCGTGGGAATTTTATATCTTTGTTGGACGAGCGGGGAGCGCAACGTTTGAACTTGGAAAAGAAAAGAAAAGTTTTGAAAAAAAGGCAGGGCCAAATCCGGCCAGTTCTTGGCCGGATTGATGGCCGGATTGATGGCCGGATTGTTTGAACATTTTGAAAAAAATTTGACTTAGCCACTGCCTTGAATCCGGCAAGAATCCGGCCGGATTCTGACGTGGCAGCTACGGTTGCCAAGTTTGACCGACTGTTTCCTGCCTTTTTATCTCACTTTTGCACCCAAATATCTCATTTCTTCCCTGGCTCAACCGAGCTTCATAAGAGAGAAAAGCTCTCAAGTTTTTCCTAGTTTCAATCTTCACCAAATCTTGCGATTTCACCGATGATTTTGGACAATATTTCACACAAGGGTTCTCTATGGTGGTTTTAAAGCTGTTGATGGATTGGTTTTTGAAGGGAAGCTCTAGGTGGATAGCTCTCTTGAATTTGAGGTAAGATTGGATATGCGAGTTTCCTTTGGTTCTAATATTGGTTAATTAATGGTTTGTGGTGGTCATGTATGTGATTTTGTGGAGTATTTCATGGGTTTATGGAAATTATGGTGATTTTCTGATGTATTGGGTATTTTTATGATTTTATATGAAAGTCTTGGATTGGATTTGGATTAGTGGTTTCAATGGTGTTAATAGAAGCTCTTGTACGTTATTTATGGTTGTTGCGGAAAATTTCCGTATGTGAAGTGAATTTCGTTTCTAGGGTTTCAAATTAGGGATTTTTCCAAGGTTGGCTTTAAGCTTTTAATTGGCTTTGATTGAAGGAAATTATGGCTTAATTGAATGTATGGTATTGTTTATGAACCATATGGGTGACTGTGGTTAATTGTTATGAGAATTGGTATTTGAATGGTAGGTTGGAAATGTGTAAAATTTAGGGGTTATGCCGTCCAATTTTTGAGAGTATGTGTTTGTTTTGAATTTGAATTGATCTTGATTCATTTTATGGAAATTCTTGTGATTTGGAAATTGGGAGGATTAAGTTCCATATTAGTGACATTTCTAAACTTTGTTTAAGTTAATTCATCCTTGTTTTGGCCTGTACATGATTGGTATAGGCTAGTCTCATGTTAAGTGGGGATTTCTAGCCCTTAATTGTGATTAGTGATAGTCATATGCAAAGGTCGGTTCAAGAAGAGTAATTGAAGTTTTTCCCTGTTTCTGGACTGAACTTGGACTGTCATTTTCTCTGTACTGTAGACCGAATCAACTTTTGCTCAAAACATGAAACTTGTAGATATATGAGTTGACTACTTTCCTACAAAATTTCAGATTGATTAGAGTACTGTGGCTTGTGAATTGACCGAAATACCCATGACTGCCCCATAACCCCTGTTTTATGACAGTTTTCGTTCTTTCTCTAGGATTCGGATTTTGACCCTGAATAAGTATGTTTTGGCCTTGGAGATCTTCATAAAAAATGTTGACATATGTCTTAGCTTCGTAACGCCATAAGATTCGTTACGATCGGATAAGTGTAGCTTTAATTGTGATTAAAATGCCAAAAGGCAATAGAAGCTTGTTAATTTTAGAATTTCCTTTGCTTGACTTGATATTTGTAATTTAGGGTTTCAACTTGATCAAGGTAATGAGGTATGCCGGATAAGGTTCGTGAGCCATGGTTGGTGAGTGATCCCTCAACTACTTTTCCACAATTACTTTGGAAATAAGTCTTGCATCGATTTCATGATTTGCATATCATTGTGTTTGTGTGTGTGCCATGACATTTGACTCGGATGAGTTCTTGGGAAAATCTTGTGCTTAGAACCAATGTCCCCGCTACTGTTTACGCATTCCTTGGAGTACGATGGCTCCTTCTACCTGTTTATCCGTTACTTGATCTAAGGGAGCGTTGGATATCTAAGTACAAGAATTTCACTGGCTCCAAGAGAGCAATATATGCACATTTGATCACTAATTCTTGCATCATGTAAATGTACAATTGTAAAGTTTATTGGATTACTGATTTTACTGTTCACTCGCTGAGCTTCTAGCTGAGCTTCTAGCCACCAACTGTTTTCTTCTCCCCACAGGGATCGAGGCAAAGGAAGAGCTTGTATTACGTTATTTGTGTAGCTGGATGGAGTATCTTATGTATGATTTGACTTTGGATTTCTTCTTGTGTAATAGTTGATGTTAGGGGTGTATGAAGGTTTGAGATTGGTCGGATGTATATGTATATACGTTCGTATGAATGTTTGAACTTGAATGGATGAACGTGTACGTTCCACGTTTGGGAATTAGTTCCACTGCGATTGTGATAGGAAATTCTTGGAGAATTTGTTATATATTTGAGTTTTATATTGCAATTTGTTTGAGGACTGTAGTGATCGACTGAGTCCCGGCGAGAGCTGGGCAGGCGGTCCGCCGAACCCTCTGGTTCGCCTTAGGGGGAGGTGGGGTCGTTACAATTGGTATCAGAGCTTAGGCTTCAGATCTTCGTAGCGTATCCTAGGCTTGAAGTTTAGGATGCTTGACTGCGAGATCCGTTTGAATATTATGTGAACAAGGATCTATTGTATCTTAGGAGTTAAAGAAATTGATTATTTGGGAGTTCTTATTTGGGACTTGCAGAAGAAACTGAGGAATTAGGTGATGTTATATTGAAGGAAGATATGGGATAAGAGATTTGCAATGAAAGGTTGGACGAATTTGAATTATCATTATATTTGTAAGTGTGGAAAGAATTGAGATAATTATTAGTACTGGCTATGAAGGATAAGAGACCGAGATGTGATAGTCAAACTCCAGGTGTGATGATTTTGGACCAAGATATAAGGGTACCAAAGGAATAAAATGCATTTTTCCGCTCACATATCTCCTAGAGATTTAAGACCTCAATAATAGATATACGTTTTAAGTACGTGTAATTTCCGATTTTTGGAAACAATGTGAATTTTGCTTGAATTTCAAATTTGAAAATTTGTGAATAACTGAGGAGTTGTTGAATTTGTATATGATGGGTTAGTACAAGGATAAAATTTTCTAAACTAAGTTTTCCCCCTTGATTGTATACTGATGTAATCTCACACATGAATTTGTATCTTGAGTTTTCGGAAGCACAGCGAACCTGTGTTTATTATGTAAATCTTGACTTCGATAAGATCTTTGGGTACTTTAAAATACCTCTCTTACGCTTTAAAATTTTTGGTCTTAAAAGAAGAGTGAGCCTATCTTTAGGCGTACAATTGAGGGAACTTTGAGATATAGAGTAACTGTATTCAAGAGTACGAAGTTAGTGTGCATTGACTTGGTTTCTATTTGGCCGTCAGTTATCAAGTTGTACTTATTTCTTGGGTTTGAACTTGGAACTTGAGACTTTACTATAGAACCTAAGATTGGTTATTCTTGGAGATGATAGTATTTTGCTAGTCGCTTGTTTATTACAGATTTTGAACTTCGAAATGGATAACCTTTGATTTCGGCTTGTGTTATGGATTTCTTGGATCTAATTTCGTAAAGGCATGTGATCCGATTGAAATTAGTGACATTGGCACTAATTCTGGAAGTGGTACATGTAAAATATGACTTTGATTTTCGTTTAAGAGCATATGGTCTGAGTCGTGAAGTTTCTTAGTTGGACTTCTTGTACTTGAATACTTGATATTTTTTTCCTGAGGAAATGCTCATGAAGTTTGGACGGAATATGGTTTAATGGATGACGATGTGAATAGAAATTATAAGTGAGTTTGAGATAAGTTGTGATGGCATAGGTTAGAGCACAGAAGATTTTGTATTGTACTCACGACTAAACCGAATAAGGAGAGTGAAATAATGACTTGGACTTGCCAATAAGTGTGTGGCGGGTTTTGATAGATTTCGGTGGTGGCTAGAATTGTTGAGAAAACTTTAGTTTTGTATCTTTCTTCTAGTATTCCTGTTTGATTAAAGTTGCACCACCTGATTGGTAAGTGTTGGAATTTACTATACTTGAACTACTTGGGACTGACCTCGAACTACCTGAGATTGATCTGAGCTGCCTGAGACCGACTAGACTGAACTTCCTTGAGACGTGACCTTGTTAGGCGAGTGTGTTCATACGTACTCTTAATGGACCTAACTTCGCTGAATATATGGTATGTGACCTGTAGGTGGACTTGCATTTTATGACTATTTAAGAATGTGAATTGCTGGACAGAGGTTAGGCCAGTGTGTTCTTACCTGTACTCATGATCCTTGAACTTGAACTTGTACTCTTATTTGTGTTCATGCTCCCTGAACTTGTAATATTTGACCCTGCTTTTGAACTTCTTCGTACTCGTGCACTATGAACCTGAAGTAATTGAACTCTGCTTTGACCCTACTCTTGAATTTATTCGGACTCATGTGGTTGTAGACCGGCTACTACTCTTCTGTAGCGGTTGAACTGAACCTCTCTGGTGGGCATTGCCTGTTGTGTTGTCCAGCACCGCCATTCTTCTGGCGAGACATGCCTGTTGTGTTGTCCAGCACCACCAGGGATGAAATACTTGAACTGAGGCTCTCTGGCGAAGTTTAGCCGTTGTGCTAACTTGTTGTGTTGTCCAGCACCGCCAGGGACAAATACTTGAACTGAGGCTCTCTGGCGAAGTTTAGCCGTTGTGCTAACTTGTTGTGTTGTCCAGCACCGCAGGGCCAACTTACTGAACTGAAATTCTTTGGTGAAGCATAGCTGTTGTGCTAGCTTGTTGTGTTGTCCAGCACCACCAGGGATGCATTTTGATTTGAAGCTTCGTTGTATCCAGAATTTCTTCCAACTATCTGGACTTTACGTCCGATTTCAAGCCTTTTGCCTGTTTTATCTGGGTACACGATTAACTCCCTACTGGACCGTGACTCTTTGATAAGTTGGATTGGCGTGATATTAGTACTTGAATTTGATAAGTGATTATTAAATAAGCCATGCTTTACTAGATCATGAATTGCGATAAGTGAGATTAGAATGATTCTTAGTATTTGACTGACTTTGGGGAAAAACAAATTGGACCTGGTAAATACAAGTTGGAGTAGATTGAATCTTAATGCTTGATTGGTTTCTGAGCGATATCTTGACCGGATATATATATGAGTTAGAATGTCGAGGACGACATTATTTTAAGGGGAGAGATTGTGAGATCCCGTAATTTTCACAAGTCCTCCCTAGGCATTATTCTATTTCTTTACGATCTAATGGTCCTAGAAACGTGTTCTTATATGAGTGCGTGCTGTGTATGCTCACTGTACTCGTGGGAATTTTATATCTTTGTTGGACGAGCGGGGGAGCGCAAGGTTTGAACTTGGAAAAGAAAAGAAAAGTTTTGAAAAAAAGGCAGGGGCCAAATCCGGCCAGTTCTTGGCCGGATTGATGGCCGGATTGTTTGAGACATTTTGAAAAAAATTCGACTTAGCCACTGCCTTGAATCCGGCCAAGAATCCGGCCGGAAATCCGGCCAGATTCCGGCCGGATTCTGACGTGGCAGCTACGGTTGCCAAGTTTGACCGACTGTTTCCTGCCTTTTTATCTCACTTTGCACCCAAATATCTTCATTTCTTCCCTGGCTCAACCGAGCTTCATAAGAGAGTAAAGCTCTCAAGTTTTTCCTAGTTTCAATCTTCACCAAATCTTGCGATTTCACCGATGGTTTTGGACAATATTTCACACAAGGGTTCTCTATGGTGGTTTAAAGCTGTTGATGGATTGGTTTTTGAAGGGAAGCTCTAGGTGGATAGCTCTCTTGAATTTGAGGTAAGATTGGATATGCGAGTTTCCTTTGGTTCTAATATTGTTAATTAATGGTTTGTGGTGGTCATGTATGTGATTTTGTGGAGTATTTCATGGGTTTATGGAAATTATGGTGATTTTCTAATGTATTGGGTATTTTTATATGATTTTATATGAAAGTCTTGGATTGGATTTGGATTAGTGGTTTCAATGTGTTAATAGAAGCTCTTGTACGTTATTTATGGTTGTTGCGGAAAATTTCCGTATGTGAAGTGAATTTCCGGTTTCTAGGGTTTCAAATTAGGGATTTTTCCAAGGTTGGCTTTAAGCTTTTAATTGGCTTTGATTGAAGGAAATTATGGCTTAATTGAATGTATGGTATTGTTTATGAACCATATGGGTGACTGTGGTTAATTGTTATGAGAATTGGTATTTGAATGGTAGGTTGGAAATGTGTAAAATTTAGGGGTTATGCCGTCCAATTTTTGAGAGTATGTGTTTGTCTTGAATTTGAATTGATCTTGATTCATTTTATGGAAATTCTTGTGATTTGGAAATTGGGAGGATTAAGTTCCATATTAGTGACATTTCTAAACTTTGTTTAAGTTAATTCATCCTTGTTTTGGCCTGTACATGATTGGTATAGGCTAGTCTCATGTTAAGTGGGGATTTCTAGCCCTTAATTGTGATTAGTGATAGTCATATGCAAAGGTCGGTTCAAGAAGAGTAATTGAAGTTTTTCCCTGTTTCTGGACTGAACTTGGACTGTCATTTTCTCTGTACTGTAGACCGAATCCACTTTTGCTCAAAACATGAAACTTGTAGATATATGAGTTGACTACTTGCCTACAAAATTTCAGATTGATTGGAGTACTGTGGCTTGTGAATTGACCGAAATACCCATGACTGCCCCATAACCACTGTTTTATGACAGTTTTCGTTCTTTCTCTAGGATTCGGATTTTGACCCTGAATAAGTATGTTTTGGCCTTGGAGATCTTCATAAAAAATGTTTACATATGTCTTAGCTTCGTAACGCCATAAGATTCGTTTCGATCGGATAAGTGTAGCTTTAATTGTGATTAAAATGCCAAAAGGCAATAGAAGCTTGTTAATTTTAGAATTTCCTTTGCTTGACTTGATATTTGTAATTTAGGGTTTCAACTTGATCAAGGTAATGAGGTATGCCGGATAAGGTTCGTGAGCCATGGTTGGTGAGTGATCCCTCAACTACTTTTCCACAATTACTTTGGAAATAAGTCTTGCATCGATTTCATGATTTGCATATCATTGTGTTTGTGTGTGTGCCATGACATTTGACTCGGTGAGTTCTTGGGAAAATCTTCTGCTTAGAACCAATGTCCCGCTACTGTTTACGCATTCCTTGGAGCACGATGGCTCCTTCTACCTGTTTATCCGTTACTTGATCTAAGGGAGCGTTGGATATCTAAGTACAAGAATTTCACTGGCTCCAAGAGAGCAATATATGCATATTTGATCACTAATTCTTGCATCATGTAAATGTACAATTGTAAAGTTTATTGGATTACTGATTTTACTGTTCACTCGCTGAGCTTCTAGCTCACCCCAAATGTTTTCTTCTCCCACAGGGATCGAGGCGAAGGAAGAGCTTGTATTACGTTATTTGTGTAGCTGGATGGAGTATCTTATGTATGATTTGACTTTGGATTTCTTCTTGTGTAATAGTTGATGTTAGGGGTGTATGAAGGTTTCAGATTGTCGGATGTATATGTATATACGTTCGTATGAATGTGAACTTGAATGGATGAACGTGTACGTTCAACGTTTGGGAATTAGTTCCACTGCGATTGTGATAGAAATTCTTGGAGAATTTGTTATATATTTGAGTTTTATATTGCAATTTGTTTGAGGACTGTAGTGATCGACTGAGTCCGGCGAGAGCTGGGCAGGCGGTCCGCCGAATCTCTGGTTCGCCTTAGGGGGAGGTGGGTCGTTACAAAAGCAATTTCATGAAAGAGAGGACAAGGGCGATAAAGTACGCCCTAGCCTCATTAACTAGCAAGTACAAGAATCATTTCATTTAAACACTTCACATGCACTTGATACTCACCAAGTATCAAAAGTCAAAGTTTGAGAAATTAGCTCTAAGACGCTTCGCCGGGAGTTCCCTCGAAGTCCTCTTGAGATCCTGAAAGTATGCCATAATGCATTGTATCTCAAATTCCAGGCCATACAGTATTCTTGTAAAGAAAAGAAATAGTCAATTTGACTCCACAATTAAAGTTTCCAAAGTATTTCAGTTCATAAGGAACCGACTTTCAAATGAGGTCTCAATGATAGGTGAACTCATGAAAATAGGTTTGAAATGCTCTAAGAGTTGTAAAATGTAACCTAGGCCCTTAAAAGAACATTTAGGTCCAAATTGGAAATTTTCACTTTTCGAGTCATTCGTGGAAAAATCAGTCCGGAAGTTCGGAAAGTCTAAAATAGAAAATTTTACACCGTCAAAAACTTCATTCGAAGCATAACAACTTTGTAGAAGGTCACTTTCCAAGAATCAAATCAGAAACAAGTCAATTTCTACAAGAGAGAGTTTACTATTCATTGAAGATAGGTCAAAACAGTCCAAGTTTTTCCAATAATTTTGGAATTTCGCTAAAAATCATAGAATCAAAACCAGCCTTTAAATTTGATATGCATGTAAAGTTCCAATCCAGGTTTCAAATGAAAAAAAAAAAAAAACGGAACTCGATTCCGATGTTCCTAGCTCAAGAAATAAAAAGTTGAAGTTCGCTAAAATTCCTGGACTGTTGGCCTATTTTCCAGATTTAATGCACTTCGCTAATTAGGCCGTATCTCACTCGATTCTCAGTGAAACTGAAAACGGTTGTGGTGTTAGAAATAGGTTCACAAGGATATATTTATGCAGAGAAATCATTCCCAAAATCCAGACATAAGCGGTTTCAAAATCAAGCAACAAAATGGATTTTCTGGACAGTCTCGGAAACAGTAATAAACAGGCAGCCAACTTTCAAACTCGTCACGAATCGCTCGGCATGAACTAGAAAATGAGCTTGGTACCATTTTAAAGCTCGAAGAGTCTACTTTCAAATTCCGCAAACGGCACTCAATTTCGATCAACGAGCAAAACGTTATAGCTACACAAATGTGCTGCTGGTCAAAAATTCTGGAGCTGTTCCAGTTTTGCTTCTTTACTTGTAACTCAAAATTAACCAACCATTGGGTTGATTTTTGGTAGACAACCACAATACACATAGCACAACATATCTACACCAATTTGGAAGCTCAATTAGCACCAGAAAATTTTCGAATTATAGGGCAGCAGCAAACAAGAAAGTCGGCAGCAAGTCAGAAATTTCAGACAGTACCTTCTCCAAATTTCTAACTTTCTTCCAACTTCATTCCATCAATCATTCTATATACATGTAACATAGCACAATATCAGCAACCAAACATGTTAATTCATCACATCAGCACCAATAAGCATCCTCAAACCCTCGAGCATGTCATGAAATTGCAAGAACATAATTACTCAACCAATCAACCCAAATTCTACCATAGGTTGCAAACCCATGCTACCTTTGCTCCATTTGAGCTATAATTTTGCAAGATTGAAGTGTGGGTGAGTGAGTTACCTCAAGAACTTAGTTGGACAGCTTTAGGAGAAATCTTGACCGAAATTCCTCCAAGAAAACCGATGAACAGCCCCTCTTCCAAGCTAGGATCAAAGCCCTCTAATGGATGATGAAATTTGGAAGTGGATTGAAGCAAGTTTGTGAGGATTTTGGCTAGATTTTTTTCTTCCCATCGGCCAACTAGAGAGTGACGAGAGGAGAGAGAGTGAAATCAGGTATTGTAATGAAAGTGGAGAGAATTGGTGACTTAATGTTAAGTCTAAGTGTCAACTCATGCTAGGTCCGTTTAGGGTCTTGCGTGTCCAATTTTCGCGCTCGTTTGCAACTTTTGTGCACTAAACCTCTGAGGTAATTTCCCTAGTACATTAATAGTACATTACTAGTAGTCTAATATCATGTTCTTAAAATCTCCAATTAATCAAATTAATGTGCCTGTCGGGGCCTTTTCGGCACGCGCCGTATAAAGGTCAAACTTAAGGGTTTTCTCGTTTGAACTTGGAAATTCAACTTATTCGATTCTAAAACTCTAAAATATGATAATCCAAGTATATATATATATATATATAACAATAAAAATCACGATAAGCAATTCATCTTGAATAAATTTGGGCATTAAAATAATATGCGCGTAAAGAACCAATCGGAAAATTTATTTTCGAGAAATTCATGTACTTTAGTATATTTTATTTTATTTTATTATTTTTTTTGGGTAACTCGAGTACGAAATATTTTTAAAATGACCAATTTAACAATATTTTGAAATAATAAAATTATGGGTCCTCACATCCTCTCCCCCTTAAGAGAATTTCGTCCTCGAAATTCATACCTTAACTCAAAAACTCCAGATGTCACTTTTGCATCCCACTCTTACGAATTGTAAAACTTATTCCGCATTAAATATCACGTAAGTCTTGTATTCTTAATCTGTTCACGACGAGCGAGATAACAATTCCTTCATGCGGTTCACAGATTCAATTGCCTTAAGAAATTTGTCAATTCAAGAACAAATGATGTAATAGCCCTTTAAATTGGTATACGCAATGAACTTTAAATATCTCGCAGATCAAATTCGATAAGATCTTATTAGCACACAAGTTTTGTCCTACTGGACCTTAACCCTAGTAATCTTTCAAAATAGATAGTAAGAGCCCTCAAGAATCAATAACTTCAAAAATCATATCTGGTTCCGTATACATGTATGCAAATATCGAAGTACGAAATGAAACCTTACATTCAATAATATCTTATTGTAGTCCCCAAGTCATTTATGAGTATTACTGCCAATTTTTAACCCAAATACGACTTAAAGACCCAAATCCATTAATGCTACTGGTGTATTCATTACTCCCAATGGCATAATTGAATTTCAAAGTGCTTACTTTTCTGATGAACTAGCCTTAATCACATCTTCCTCTAGAATCCTCAATTAGTTGTAGTCCTGTATTAAATCTAACTTGGAAAGTACTACTGTCTCTTGTAGATACTCAAATGATTCATTTATGCAAGGTAAAAGATATTTATTCCTAATACCCACTTGATTCCAGCCTCATATTATAGACATGGCCTTCTCACAAGGCTATAAGCGTAACAAAATTTAGATATACGAATAAGTCATGAAATTGATTAAATGCAAAGTAAACTTTCATTTGCTATAAAAGACCATAATAGTTTCATCAAGTTAGGATAAATTTATCAAATCATTTCAAAAGAAAAGGGAATAAACAAGATTGTAGCAAAACATGCTAAGTCATCCATGTTCAAAGCAACAAAAGATTTCATCCCTTACACAAAAGATTACAACCTTCAAAAGTCTCAGTATAGGCTAGGTTATAATCATAATCCCTCTTTAAGCAAAGTCAAATCCATCTTCACTCGTAGAGCTTCTAATACTTTGGTTCTTCTCATAGCCATTAGTATTAACCACTCCCTCTAACACTCGACTGTTTTGCAGCAGACTTAACGAGCTGCTGAGGAGTTCCTCGGGCAACTTAAAACTTAATGCTCAGGACTCCCGCATAGCAAGCATTTCCTTGTTTCCTTCAGCCCATAATCTCAGTGTGATTAAACTTGCCACAGTATCCACAAGTTACTCTACAAGTTACGGCCTGATTAGCTTGAGAATTCTCCTTTTTCTTTTTCTTCTTTTCTCTCTGCTCCACAACAAATTCATGTTCACATCTCTCTTTACGTTTCCCTTTTTTCATTATGGGAGTTTCCTTCACTACCCTTAACTTGGTTGCTAGAAATATACTGAGGTGAAACTTGAATAGTGGGTCGCATCCCCTCGAGTTTTTTTTTTCCCTGAAGTTCCTCCAATACTCCTTCGTATTTCTTTTTCATTTCCAATTCTTGTTCCATAATTCCATCTTCTCTACAAACTCTTGTTTGCATCGTTCTTCCCAGAATTCAACCAATTTAGTCTGGAATTCCAACTCCTTGCGAAGAACTTCTATTTCTATACGCATCTCTTCCAAACTTTTCATTTCATCCATTTGCTTAATCCTGACTGTCAGCCTATCAACAACTCAAAGCATCTAAATGAGTAGCAAATCAAAATTTAAAACTTAACTATCCACAACCTATAAATTCTCACGCATCTAAGTCATCCAGGTATATTTACTCTTACCTCTCCACGAATTTGATACGTAAGAAAATCCACACACACAAATAAAGTAATACCCCTTGATATAATGATATGTACTTCCGTTCTAAGGTCTTACTCACGTATGTAGTGAAACCATAAATTACACGCCATAAGAAACAAGTTCCAAACCTGACTAAAAACTGTTACGCACTAGTAGGACCAGAATCCTTTTCCTCAAAAGTTTGTCTAAATCAAACCAATCATGACCTACAAGATAAAGTCGAGACTTTTGATGTATTTTGAATGTATCTGTGGCAAAATGCGATTCAAAATTTTCAAAATTAGAGTTAAAGATACAAATTTTCTTCATGATCCAAAACTAAATTTTCTTAGTAAGAGATTTCAAATAATGTTTAACCACAATCATCAATACATATTTCAAATCTCTCAAATAGATTTAAGAAGATTAATCATGCAACTTAATGCATGAATTTTAAAACATATACATAATAATCATAACATATACATGGAGGGTGTTCCAACACTTTTCCTCAAAGTTTCGAGTTAAATCTATGTTCGGGTAAAGCGTATATTTTAGAAATACCTTTAAGAAAGATAAATAGACATGTAGGTTCATATTCGCATAACCTGTGATCCAACACCTTTACCACCCTTTTATATCCAAACCAAGAGCTAACTCTACTAGTACATAAAGCCCGATCATTTCTAATCTCTGATTCATAACAAATAGGCATTCATGTTCCTAAGAAAAGATTCGAACTTGAACTCTATCTGATTTCGATTCTCAAACGAGTTCAAAATGTGTATACATATATATATATATATATAAATTTTGTGAAAAAGTAAAACAAGTGAATCTGGGTATAGTAATAGTCAAGTAAAATTGAAAGCGCTTTTGTTCAAGTAGAACAAATAGGTAATGAGTTCAAGTCATCTCACCAAACCAACGAAATACTTTCGGAGTTCAAACTTCATAAAAGTTGAAAGATGGCCATAGGACCACTCATAATATACGTATAAAGCAACTATTAAAATTTCGCACAGGAAAATCTCACTAAGTTCCCAACTAGGTTAATCCATTATACACTGGTAGATCTAATCTTCTGGTTTATTCTCGATTCATATTCAGTACTAGGGTCTCATTAAATTATATAAGACTATCCATCAATTTCTCATGAGTACGGGTTGTCTAAGCCCTAGGCCACGACCCCTTTTTCCCATTCCTGCTGCCATACTTAATAGAAGTCTATAAGCACAAGAAAAGGAATAATTAAGCATAAAAGAACTTAATGCATATACAAGTTGCAAAAATATTTAGAATCAAAACATGCTTCTTTACATGTATCAAAAGTTATAGCACGAGTTAGAAGTCACAAAACAAGCCCAATATGTCAAATACTGCATATAGGCAATTAAGTGCCACAAAATATAGAAGTATATGCAAGCAGGATACAAAAGGCCTCACGGCGCGCACCACCCTTCCTAAGTCCATAGTTAAACCAAAGGTCCAAATATCACTAATTTCAATCAGATCACATGCCTTTACGAAATTAGATCCAATCAAACCATAACACAAGCTGAAACCAAAGGTTATCCATTCGAAATTCAAAATCTTTAATAAGCAAGCCACCAGCCAGAGCACCATCATCTCCAAGAATAACCAGTCTTAGGGTTTTATAGTTAAAGCCTCAAGCTCCAAGTTCAAACCCAAGAAATAGTACAACTTGCTAACTTACGTGTCAAATGGAAACCAAGTCAATTCACACTAACTTCGTGCTCTTGAATGCGGTTACTCTATATCTCAAAGTTCCTCAGTCCGTACACCTAAAGATAGGCTCACTCTTCTTGAAAACCAAGAATTTTAAAACATAAGAAGAGTATTTAAAGTAACCAAAAATCTTATCAAGTTCAAGATTTACATTATAAAAACATAAGTTCGCCATTCTTCCGAAAACTCAAGATTTTTTTTTTTTTTGTAAAGCATAGACAAATTCAAGTGTGAGAATACACCAGTATACAATCAAGGGGGAAAAACTTAGTTTAGAAAATTTTAACTTGTATCAGCCCATCATATACAAAATTCAACAAACTCATCAGTTATTCACAAATTTTCAGATTGAAATTCAAGTAAAATTCACATATTTACCAAAATCGAAAATTATACATACTTAAACATATATATATTATTTCCAATCATCGTTTGAAAATAAAACTAGTACATCCTCGTTTTTCTTTAGAATTTCAAAGCAGAAATTCTCTAGGAGGTAAATGGGCGGGAAAATGCATTTTATTCCTTTGAAACTCTTTTATCTTGGTTCAAAATCACCATACATGGAGTTTGACCATCAAATCCCGGTCTCTTATCCTCTATAGCCAGTACTAATAATTGCTCAATTCTTTCCACACTTACAAGTATAATAATAATTCAAATTCATCCAATCTTTCACTACTAATCCTCATCCCATATTTTCCTTCAATATAACATCACCTAATTCCTCAATTTTTTTTTTCTACAAGTCCCAAGTAAGAAACTCTCAAATAATCAATTTCTTTAACCCCTAGGATACAATAGGTCCTCATTCACATAATATTCAAATTAATCCCACAGTCAGGCATCCAAACTTTAAGCCGAGGATACACTACAAGATCTAGAGCCTCTCTGATACCAACTGTGACAGCCCCACCTCCCCTAAGGCGAACCAAAGGGTTCGGCGGACCGCCTGCCCAACTCTCGCCGGGACTCACTACAGTCCTCAATAAAATACATCACTCACATCCAATAACATAGGGTACAACCTCAAGAATAAACGAAATAACATTTTTCAAACTTAGAACGAGATAAGATACATTACAAATCTCAAGTAAGGGTATCATTCCCCGAATAAGACAAAAGTCCTCAGTTCTCAAATAATTACATCAAATACTTATCAAGTGAATCGAATTCAAATTATATATGAGATATCCCTTCAGGCACTAATAACTCAATACAAGCGCTTTCTTTGGCCTCGAGCCCTGTGGGAAAAATTATTTTTGGGGGTCACTAATTAAGCCTCAGAACTTCCACTTCCAAACCTGTTAAGGAAAACAAATTGGGGTGAGCTAACGCTCAGTGAGGCCAAGGGAAAAACATGCAAGCATGCTAGCAAAGACACAATATAAAGCAATAACTCGAGTAACAAGTAACTGCGAAACATTAAGCAACTAGGGAATTTAATCACAATAAAAGGATACGGGAGCTCTCAGGAGCTAATCCACGCGATCCAAGCTCAGGTAGTTGACCCTCCGTCAACTTTCACAGTTATCCATGTAGAACTCCACTTACTACCTCCAGCCACCATGACACCCTCTTGGATCCGTAACCAAACAAGCATGTAGGTGGTATCACTTAACAAGTATACCTAGCAAGACCCCTTATTTGGATCAAGCTATAACACTTCCCAAGGTTCACCAAGTTTCTCGACCAAGCCCTTGCCGGCTCGAGTTACAAGGCTAGCCAATGGGTTGGGGCGTCCCCCCATTCACTTTTAGGTCGATGAGACGAAGCTCCAATCGACAAGATTTGGTCATAGCATTGAGACGGGATGAGCGGTACCTCCTACCCTAAAAGGGCATGATACATTCTGCCGCTCAATGCTCACGAAAAACACTTTCATTTGCATTCACATGTAACACGTATCACTTATCAAGCAAGCAATTTCATGAAAGAGAGGACAAGGGCGATAAAGTACGCCCTAGCCTCATTAACTAGCAAGTACAAGAATCATTTCATTTAAACACTTCACATGCACTTGATACTCACCAAGTATCAAAAGTCAAAGTTTGAGAAATTAGCTCTAAGACGCTTCGCCGGGAGTTCCCTCGAAGTCCTCTTGAGATCCTGAAAGTATGCAATAATGCATTGTATCTCAAATTCCAGGCCATACAGTATTCGTGTAAAGAAAAGAAATAGTCAATTTTGACTCCACAATTCAAGTTTCCAAAGTATTTCAGTTCATAAGGAACCGACTTTCAAATGAGGTCTCAAGTGATAGGTGAACTCATGAAAATAGGTTTGAAATGCTCTAAGAGTTGTAAAAATGTAACCTAGGCCCTTAAAAGAACATTTAGGTCCAAATTGGAAATTTTCACTTTTCGAGTCATTCTTGGAAAAATCAGTCCGGAAGTTCGGAAAGTCTAAAAGGAAAATTTTACACCGTCAAAAACTTCATTCGAAGCATAACAACTTTGTAGAAGGTCACTTTCCAAGAATCAAATCAGAAACAAGTCAATTTCTCCAAGAAAGTTTACTATTCATTGAAGATAGGTCAAAACAGTCCAAGTTTTTCCAATAATTTTGGAATTTTTAAAAATCATAGAATCAAAACCAGCCTTTGAAATTTGATATGCATGTAAATTCCAATCCAGGTTTCAAATAAAAAAAACGGAACTCGATTCCGATGTTCCTAGCTCAAGAAATAAAAAGTTGAAGTTCGCTAAAATTCCTGGACTGTTGGCCTATTTTCCAGATTTAATGCACTTCGCTAATTAGGCCGTATCTCACTCGATTCTCAGTGAAATTGAAAACGGTTGGTGGTGTTAGAAACTAGGTTTACAAGGCTATATTTGTGCAGAAGAAATCATTTCCAAAATCCAGACATAAGTTTCAAAATCAAGCAAAAAATGGATTTTCTGGACAGTCTCGGATGAACAGTAATAAACAGGCAGCCAACTTTCAAAACTCGCCACGAATCGCTCGGATGAACTAGAAAATGAGCTTGGTACCATTTTAAAGCTCTAAGAGTCTACTTTCAAATGCCGCAAACGGCACTCATTTCGATCAACGAGCAAAACGTTATAGCTACACAAATGTTGCTGGTCAGAAAATTCTGGAGCTTGTTCCAGTTTTGCTTCTTTACTTGTAACTCAAAATTTAACCAACCATTTGGGTTGATTTTTGGTAGACAACCACAATACACATAGCACAACATATCTACACCAATTTGGAAGCTCAATTTGCACCAGAAAATTTTCGAAATTACAGGGCAGCAGCAAACAAGAAAGTCGGCAGCAAGTCAGAAATTTCAGACAGTACCTTCTCCAAATTTCTAACTTTCTTCCAACTTCATTCCATCAATCATTCTATATACATGTAACATAGCACAATATCAGCAACCAAACATGTAATTCATCACATCAGCCACCAATAAGCATCCTCAAACCCTCGAGCATGTCATGAAATTGCAAGAACATAATTACTCAACCAATCAACCCAAATTCTACCATAGGTTGCAAACCCATGCTACCTTTGCTCCATTTGAGCTATAATTTTGCAAGATTGAAGTGTGGGTGAGTGAGTTACCTCAAGAACTTAGTTGGACAGCTTTAGGCAGAAATCTTGACCGAAATTCCTCCAAGAAAACCGATGAACAGCCCCCTCTTCCAAGCTAGGATCAAAGGATGATGAAATTTGGAAGTGGATTGAAGCAAGTTTGTGAGGATTTTGGCTAGATTTTTTCTTCCCATCTTCGGCCAATAGAGAGTGACGAGAGGAGAGAGAGAAATCAGGTATTGTAATGAAAGTGGAGAGAATTGGTGACTTAATGGTTAAGTCTAAGTGTCAACTCATGCTAGGTCCGTTTAGGGTCTTTGCGTGTCCAATTTTCGCGCTCGTTTGCAACTTTTGTGCACTAAACCTCTGAGGTAATTTCCCTAGTACATTAATAGTACATTACTAGTAGTCTAATATCATGTTCTTAAAATCTCCAATTAATCAAATTAATGTGCCTGTCGGGGCCTTTTCGGCACGCGCGTATAAAGGTCAAACTTAAGGGTTTTCTCGTTTGAACTTGGAAATTCAACTTATTCGATTCTAAAACTCTAAAATATGATAATCCAAGTATATATATATATATACAATAAAAATCACGATAAGCAATTCATCTTGAATAAATTTGGGCATTAAAATAATATGCGTAAAGAACCAATCGGAAAAATTTATTTTCGAGAAATTCATGTACTTTAGTATATTTTATTTTTATTTTTATTATTATTATTTATTTTTTGGGTAACTCGAGTACGAAATATTTTTAAAATGACCAATTTAACAATATTTTGAAATAATAAAATTATGGGTCCTCACAATAAGTCTTTTAGGGACATTGCACAAGGATCGCATTTTTCAAAATTGCCCTCATTTTGAACTCAAAAATCTCAGACTTTGTTTGCATTTTTCTCATCATTCACCATGGACTTCAGCGTCGAATTTTTCTGTATTTTTCTTGCATTTACTTTTCTTGCTTTGCTTCTTGCTTCTATTTTCTTGTTCTTGACCTGGTGGGTTTTCACATGGTGAGTAGTGTCAGCTAAAATTTTTCGGCATCAGAAATTTTCTTGATAGGGCCTTTGCAAAGAACAAAAGTCAGGACTTTCGGCTTTTGTAATGGGGCCAGGTGGGTGCTTAGAAAAGTTAAGGCTTGAAAGCGGATTTCAAAAGCGGTTTGAAGAATCTGAGATCGCATTGTTGCGTCAACCATATTTTAGGGCTAAATCAGAATTTACCCCAGTTTATGCTCAATTGAGGCTTTTTCTCTTTCATTTTCTTTCTTCTTTTGATTTTTCGGCCTTCTGCCATTCTTTTGAACTTTCACAAATTTGCCCCAGTTTACTTTTGAACTGAGGTTCTCTTTTCTTCTTTTGTCTTTTGATTTTGTTGCATTATCCTTTTCACTTCTTGAAACTTTTCCCTTTTCTACTCAAACTTGCCCCAGTGTGGGGTTTTCGATTCTCAGGGTTGCCAAACGAAATAATTTATTCTGAAGGCTCAAAAGGGATAACTAGGGATAGAATGTTTGACTGGAAAAGAAGACGGCCTAACTTTCGTTCCATTCCTCACATTGACCCTGAAAGGAAACTTTCATTAATGCGAAATTTCTTGCATGTATCTGAATTAATTGACTGAGGAAGACCCTTGTTCATTCATATCTGTGAAACATAGGTGATCCGCCGGACAAAACTCTTCCTTTTCTTTTCCCTTTCTTCTTCTTTTCTTTTCTTCTCTTTTTTCATAATTGAAGCCCAGGTAGAGTCAAATTTCTCCAATTTGTGATTCCCTCTTTAGCATTTTTGCTTTTTTCCTTTTTGGAAAATTCTCCAATCTCCTTCCCCAATGTGGGATGCGATCATAAGTGCACTCGAAAAGAACCACCAATTTTAGCTCAAATGAGGATGCAAGGGATAAATGGTGTTTAGGTTGTAGAAACGATGGCCAAAGTATCATTCTTACACCTCATGACAACCAAAGTAACGAAATGGTCATTGAAAATCCACTCCCTTTTTTGATATTTGAAAATCTTCCAATATAGGGTAGTGAACATCAAAGCTCTTATTTGAAACGAAATTATTCTTTCAAAGGCTCAAATAGGAGAGCAAATGATAAAATCTGTATAGGTAGAGAAACGAATGCTCGAAGTATCATTCCAAATTTTCAAAACAAACAAGAATAATGCACATTTTTGCTTTCACTTAGATGTGATTGAACCAGTTAGACTAGTGAGCATTTTCAAGCAAAGATTACCCCAATTTGCAATTTATCAATCAATGTGACTGATTTTTGGAGGGGGCAAATAGAGGTGGGCAAAATAGGAATTGTACAATGAAGGAGAAAAGGTATCTCATTGGGCCTTTTGAGTAATCTCTTTTAATTTTGAGCACTCTTATTGTACAGTTTGAATCACCAATCTAGTGTATGCAGAGAATTTAGAAAACAAACACTTGTGAAATTTCAGAACAGGAGGTTGAAAAATCTCAATTTGGTCTTATTTCTTAAAATTCATCATGAAATCCCTCAAATAGCCAAAAAAGAATGAAGTATACATGACTATATACAAAACAACAATTGTATAAATAAAAAACTTTATTCCTGAAAAAAGTTTGAAACAAAATTTCTACAAATGAGAAGAGAAAGACTTCTGAAGAGCTCCACATATACACACTTTTTACCTCCTTTTTGGAACAGAATTTTCTTTTCTCTGAAAAATAATGATGAAGTCTCTTAGAGGCTTTAGCCTAGCGCTTCCAAATAGATCCTTCATGTTTTCATTGCAGGGTTTGCCCGAGAATCAAGTAATACTTGTAATTTTCAAACTTTATTAGATCAAAATTGTTATCAGATATAGAAAAATATTTTCACCTTATTGAAATAGTTTTATGAATGCAGGGGGAGGGGGAAAAAATAAAAGAAAAATACCCAGAGTTAGTTAGCAAAATTATAAAATCGGTATGCATGTCCTATGGGGGAGCCCTTTTATGCCAAGGGTAGGCCTAGCATGAAAATGCAATCCTCTGGGGTAGGCACTAGACAATACCTGATGAATCCGACCAACTTACTGAGTGAAAAATAATTTGAAAAATTTGGCCAATTTGGAGTGAAAAGAAACATTTGTCCTAAAACATGAGGACAAAGTCCGAATGGATTGCTTACTTTGATCAACACATGATATGTGAAAGAGAGCTTACTCTTGAAAGGATTGCAACGCCTCGACTAATTTATTCAGTGAACTTTAGACTTAAACCCTAAAAGGAATAAGCGGATCAAGAGGATAGGATGAAATTGATGATTTATTCAAAATTGACTAATTACCTTAAAAAGGATAAAATGGTGAAATGCATTGAATGAAATTTGATTATTTATTCAAAATTGAATGGATAACCCTAAAAATGAATTAAACTAATCAAATGAATTGAATGAAATCAATTGATTAAACAGATCAAGTGAAATGATGATTTATTCCAAATCGACCGGATTGCCCTAAAACTAGGCAAATTGGTCAAATGGATCGGACGAAATTGATGATTTATTCAAAATCGATAAGAGTGCCCTATGAACTAATCAAATGAATTGAATGAAATTGGTGATCTATTCAAAATCGACTAAATTGCCCTAAAATGGGCAAACTAGTCAAATGAATTCAAAATCGACTAGGTTGCCCTAAAAATGAACAAATTGATAAAATGGATTGGATGAAATTGATGAATAGAATGGTCCAATGGATTGAATGGAATTGACAGCTTATTAAAAAAAAATCAATCTATCCATTGGTAGATTCAAAAATTTATTTGCGATGCATTAGTCTATGAGCCTTCTAATATCAAATTTTGGCCTCAATTTGTTTATCGTCTCAACAGTGAGGAAATATTGGTGAATTTCTTCAAATTAATGTCCTTTACGCCAGGGATTTTTACCAATTTTGATAAAGTGGCCAAAAAGTGATTATTAGATACTCATATTCCGAAGATCGCTCTATGAAAATGATTGAATCCTACCTTACCTTGTGCACTACCCCTTTGGATGGTACAAAATGTAAACGTGCAAGTCTCCTTGGATTAAGTATCCGAGACATAGGACTGTTTATTCCTAATACAGGATCCCCAAAATGGCATTCCCTCTATTGGCTCATGCATGATGCCAATTTATCAAAGCGACTAAATATGCAGTATACCAAATGAAACGTGACCTAAAGGAACCCCCCTTTTTATATGCCGGGGTGAGCTTAAGATGAATGTATTCATGTTACAAATGCGAAGCATTGAATTTAAACGTGTCACATCAAACAGGGTAGGCTCCTAGAGAGTACAATGCCAGGACTCTTATTTTCTATGGCTTATGCAATGGAGACAAAAACCAAGAAACGTTAGTTCAATCAGATAAATACACATAACACATTGTAGCAAAACAATACAAAGAGATAAAGCAATAAAAAAAGAATAGAGGGGTTGGATCCCTCCCCTCGTGAATGGTGTCCCTAATAGCGTAAAGCAGACTCTACCCTAGGTAAACTATCATGGATGCATGAGGTATTGGCTCACTAATGCATCTAGACTCGATAGGTTTGAGGTTCCCGAGCCTTCAGACTTGGAAACCAATGGTCATCAATCCCAAGGTTCTTTGTCGGTGCTCGAGCGATTCCCCAGACACTGCTACGCAGACATCGTGTTACGGCTACATGTCTGAGTGAATCTATCAAAATCCTCAACCTTCAACTAAAAGCTAAAGGCTATTAACCCAAAGCTTAAAGCGGAAGATTGAGTGACCCCTTGGATCATGCTACGCACACGTCGTGTCGCGATCACACGTCCAAGTGGGTCGCCTAAAATCCTAATAGGGCGGC